TGGCTGGTGGGTTTGAACCGCCAGCCTTCTGGTTAGCAGTCAAGTGCCTTAGGCACTATGCTACCGGAGCTCCCACCTAACTGTAAGGGAGACTGGGTAATGGAGTCCAGCTGTGGCTCCAACAGGAGAAAAATGGGTTTGGTGAACAGCTAGCGTGGCTCTGTCTCAAACACCTGGTTATTCCAACAACAGATAATCCTGGTCTACCACACTACATAAAACCTCTCTGCTTTCTCACTTAATCTTTGTAATAATCAGACAGGTGTTCGTATATCCAATTTAGTAGCTGAAATTCACATAGCTCTGAATGACAGAACCAGGATTGTACTCAGTTCTGATTCCACAGCCCACTGTGCTATGCTGCATTTCTCCAATTAAATCATAATGTGAAAGTGAGATTATAGACAGATTTAGTTGTGATTACACTTAAAAGATCATGTAACTGCCACATCATCAATGTTTACCAATTAGAATGATGGATTTATGCTAATTAACTCAAACTCTTTCCCATTGGAATGCATAGCATAAAATACACAGCTTTAGTGCATAGCATGTATAGCATAGATTTGATAGCATAGATTCTAGGAATGGAGCAATAGTCAATGTCACGTCACCTATGTCTCAATAGTGTTGACAGGCTAACTAAAACCAATTTGCATTTTCAGAGTAAACATGTTTATACCTCACATTTTCGAAAGACATTTTAATACATAGTTCTATTTTATCTTCACAACCCTTTGAATGGTAGTGACATCCGATATACTCATTTACAAATGAAAGACAGCCAAGTTATTGAATGCTAATGTTGTGGTACGAATGTTGCTAACCACTTTATGTATATTATTATTTGATCCTCAGCACCACCTAACCAGGTAAGCACTTTTCTTAATATTTTACTGATGTAGAAATCATGGCACAGAGACGTTAAGCAACCTGACTGAGGTAACAAAGTTGAGCAGTGAAGAAAGTAAAACAGGTCAGACTACTGGTCAAAGTCTTCAGTCATTTTCTGAGTTCAAGTTCATAGATTCTATTTATTCTATTTATTTAATTATTCTATTTATGCTCTATCATTGTCATAGATTATTCCAAAGGAACTCTGGTGGTGCAGTGGTTTAAGCATTCAGCTGCTAACCAAAAGGTCAGTAGCCAAGCCCACCAGCTGCTTCAATGAAGAAAGATGAGGCAGTCTGCTTCCATAAAGATTTAGTCTTGGAAATCCTATAGGGCAGTTCAACTCTGTCCTATAGGGTCGCTGAGTTGGAATCCACTCAATGGCAATGGGTTTTATAGATTATTCCTTATTCCTGAAAATGCTTTTCACTCGGGGTTTTCACGAGATTCTCTACTTTCGCTTCTCTGCAATCTCATTACACCTTTATTCCATGAACATGTGAGTATAAAACATGTGAGTATAAAACCTAACAGCTCCTATTTCACTAAAAAATGTCTTGCTACTTAACACGAGACAAAAACCTAACTTATGTTTCCTAAATTCACAACATACTTATGCAAAGAAATCTCTCAGCTTCCTCTGAAAAGGCATATTATTCTCTATAGACATGCACTGAGACATGAAAGAAATGTCAATTTCCATTTTAAAAAAGATTTCTTTTTAATATCTGTCAAATTTCTGGTGCCTAGTACAAAACTGGAAGCAATTTAAAAAAAAAAAAAAAACCTTTTGATATGTTAGTCATTTTAAGTGAGTCATTGCCTAAAAAAAAAATTTACTTGGGAGTCAAATAAAGGTAACCTTAACGTCTCAGGAATAAATCTCCAATCAACTTGCTCATCCATTCAGCCTATTATGAATCTCTGCTGAGAATTGGGGTGGGGTAGGGGAAGCATTGAAATTAAGTGGTCATTGTAAAGTTTACTACTTTACAGGGGCCGCCCGTTGAACAGACAACCTTGTTGGAAGTGGGTTCTAATGTACATTGAATACCTCATTTCTTTCTAGTTTTTGTTATTACTGACTTTTATTATTATTCTTAAACATGTGATCTTTGGCTTTTGGGGTTGGAAACATTACATACAAACTTACAGATATGATGACATCAGCAAGTTACACACTGCAACATTCTATGTAGTACATATCACTAACTATAAGATGTACAAAAAAGGTTGGTGGTTAAGTGAGGTGTGTCTTAACTCTTAGTTTCGTCCTAAATTAGGGACAACCTGTACTACTGTACACTGGACGCATCAGATAAAAAAGACTTTCGTGTATCTACTACTGAGGAATCCAAGCCTCTACAGAACAGTAGACTAGTTCCTCAGGCTCTTCTGTCAGCTATACGCAGAGCAAGCCCCTACTAGGTGTTCAGTAAAGATGCACTGTACGTTGGAAAAAAAAAAAAATCAGTGAGGCCAAGATGGAGTAAGAGAAAGAGTTCCCACTTCTCACTGCTGACTTTTCCAAGTGGTTTCTGCAGGTCACCCAAGCACCAGCCTTTTATTAGCTCTAACAGATTTTAAGAGGGTGGAGGAGGCAGAGACATTTGACATTGTGTATGTCTTTTAACTTCCTTAAATCGTCTTGGTGGAGGCCCTACCGTTTTAGGTTGGCATGTTTGTGCTGCACCTGCAATTTCCGCCACTGGCCGTCCTTCTTTCTTCCCCCTTTTTTGGGCTCCTGGTTCTCGCTCCTCACGCTGCCTGCAGCCCACTCCCACCATCATCTGGGTCAAACGACAACTGGACACTACCACGTCCCTCAAAACATGCTTCCAGGGGAATGATACGTTTTCAATCACTGCAGTATCAGATCTTCAAGTAAAAGCTTTATTGGCACAAATATCTAACCTATGAGAAACCAATCTGTATTCGAGCCTCTGCTTCTCTGCCTCCTTCATTTTCATGATCGCCTCAAGGCTCCCCTGCCCACTCCACCCCACCTCCAATCTTAGATGACTGTCTTTCTCCTTGGGGAGTTGTGGGCTTTCTAGAAGCTGCGGCGGCTCCTTGCAGGCCTCACCGCCCACCAGCTCCGCCCGTCCCACCTCACCCCCACTTTGGCGCCCACCCATTGTCCCCTCGCAGCTGTCCTTGAGCGCAGATCCCGAGATCCCGATTGGAAAACTTCCCCGTCACTCATCCCACACTCAGGGCCCGGACGCCTCCTGGTCTTTTTCGAGCCTTAAAAGGGCTAAGGCCACTTTTTTCCCGAGCCAACAGGTAAAGCTGCGGTAGCGGAAGGGCGGAAGGGAGGGGCCGCGAGCGCAGGTCGGCCGCGCCTAGCGAAGGGGAGCGGCGGGGAGCGGGGTTAGGGAGACCGCGCCCTACCCCACCATCCCGATCATAATGCCCTAGCTGCGGAGCCACTCCCGTAACCCAGCCCCCGGACGGCCCTGGGGCAGTTACCACGAAGCACAGGGGGCGGGGCGGGCCAGGCAGCGGAGAATGGGGTAGGGGGGGAAAGTAAAAGGTCCCGGATGTTGCCGAACCTGAGCCCTTTCTGAAGGGAGTGACTGGCGCAGGCGCAGGAAAAGCGAACGAAACTGTAAGGTGGGGGTGGGGAGAGGTTTCCTTCTTGCTAGATGAGATGAAGAGTGAGCCAGAGGTTACGGGAAGATAGAGAGTATCGGGGATCCGAGGGGAAAGCCAGGTAGAAGGGTAGTGGCGGAGAAGAAAAAAGCAGCTTCTCGCCCTGGATCATTCGGGACAAGAGTCAAGTTGGAAGCTAAACGCAGTGGAGAGGAGTGTAGGTAGCCGCTTAAGACGCACGCTCCTCCGCGTTCGCCCTCTAGCGCGGGCGGGCAGAGCGCGCGCGCTAGGGAGCGGCGGTTGCGCCGGGCCCCCAGAGCTGTGGGCACCAATCAACGGTTGCCATAGCAGCGTTTGACGTCATCGTGCGTGTGGTGCCCCTGCTGCCGGGGCCGGTGATTGGAGGAAACCCCGTGTCTGCGGAGCGGCTGTAGCCTGTGAGCTGCGAGATCCAGGGACAGAGTCTCAGCCTTGCCGCTGCCGCCGCCCAGAGACTGCTGAGCCCCCGTCCGTCTGCCGCCACCCACTCCGGACACAGGTAAGGGACCCGACCGCCGCCGCCTCGCCCCATTCCTTCCTGTCGCAGACCAGCCTTCGGAAAGCGTGGGAGCATTCCTCGCACCACATCTCCTTACTCCGGCTCGCCCCGCGGTAGCGGCGCTGGGCTGAGGCGGAGTCTCAGGCGGAGACGGGCGGCGGCTTCTCTTCCGCTGGGCTCGGGCTGGCGGCTCGCTGCTGCCTCTGGCTACTTGCTTCCGGATCAAAGATTCGGTCCTGATTAAGAGCTCGTTTTCCTCGTTCCCACTTCCTGGGGGTGGAAAACGCGCCTACGCGAGATCCCTGGGGATTCACACGGTCGCCGGGTCCTGAGGGTGAGCGAGTCAACGCCAAGGCACTCCGACCCCGATCCGTAACCCCTCGCCCCTGTAACCCCTGAGTCCCCATCTAAAGGTGCCCCCCTCTTCTCTTTCGCTCGAGATGGCTGCGGGCATTGCAGTGGCGCAGGTGAGGCCGCCCCCTCCCCGCGCCCCAGCTCGCCGCCCGCGCTCCCCTCCCCCTTCCTTTCTCCTTCCTTCTCGGCGCAGCCTCCGCGCTCTGCGCTGCGGCGACGGTACCAGCCCTCCCCCACCCCGGGCGGCGGCGGCGGCGTGGTGGGGAGGGAGAAGGGCCTGATCGAGGGCCGGGAGCCGGGGCTCTGCCCGGAGCTGTCAGCCAGGTAGACCCGAGGCGAGACCGCGCCTCGGGGGCTGCGGGTGAGCGGACCATGGGTTTGAAGGTTGGAGTGGGGCTTCCCTGGGACCTGGAGCTGAATTTCCTGCGTTCAGCTGTGGGTGGAAGGATTTGTGTGTTCCCGGTTGGGGTGGGGGATGGGGATGGGGTTTTTTTTCTACTTGTGAATGGGCGGCGGAGGTGCTGATGGGGGCGCGGAGACCTGGTGCGGAGGGGATGGGGAGGACAGTGGGGCCGGCCTCTCCGGGTCTCCCACTGGATGGACTAGAGCTGGAGGAGCCTTGCGCTGCGTTTTGATCATATACCCTGCTTTGCGCGGCGGGTATGCCCGAGCTTAACAGCCGGTGGTGGCCCAACTCGCCTGGGTGTGGTTCTCCCTTCTCCCCCTCCCCCATCTGCTGCAGCTGTCGGGTCCTTATAGACTGTAAATGGGCACCAGTGGTGTCTGGTGGCGGAGGAGACACCGGATGGGAGAGTGGGGTGTGCCGGCGGCCGGACTGCTAGTGGTTCCGCTTCTGCGGGCGGCTCTGGCTGCTTTGCCCCGGGGTCGGGCGGGCGGTCTCCCGCTGCTCGGGCGGGGGCCCCGGCTGCTCCTCCCTCTTGCTCCGGGGCGGGGGAGAGTTAACACTCTGCTGCGGTAGGTTGGGCTCCTTGACACAGATCCGCCATGACAAAGAGAGAGTCGGAGGCTTGTGCTAAGGCACAAGCTTGGGCGGAGCCTAGGAGAAGGGGGCTGCTGATAGGGGGGACGCACGGATTTGCACTTTAAGGTCACTCTCTGCCTTTTTCGTTTCACTCCACTTGGCATCTTAAGTCAGTTAAGGGTTAAATGGGTGCGGCGAGTTCCCCGCAATATAGGCTATATAGAGGCGCGAGGCCTTTTGGAACACTAGGGAGAAATCTAATCCACTTCTCCCTGTCCTGGAGAGTTGGGAAGAAAAACCTTTGTACTGATTTTAAATGATTTTTTGTTAGGAACAGCATTAACCAGTGAGTGTTTCTGTGTTCCTAGAGGAGAAAGTAATTTCGAGAACCGAGAGGGGAATATTCGATCACACATTTTAAATAGTTTACACCTTGAACAAGCATACTCCGTATCTAAACGGATTACTTGTTTAAATACTGAGGACTTGTGAGTCGGAATCGACCGCAGTGGGTTTGATTTTGGTTAATTTATTCGGATTGGGGAGGGGGTGAGATTTCCCTGGAAAGTTAGCAGCATATAATATTGAGGAGTCGGTTCCTATGGTGACAGTGGCTCTTCTGTTCACCTTTAATTTGGTGGTACTCCTCAGGCTGTATATTTTTATTTAAAATAGTTTATCCTGTGGGATTCCTACAGTTTATTATCTTTCTGTACTTTTAATCCTTTTCAAAGGGATATCATTAAAGAAAAGTGCAGCGGTGGTAAAATGGAAAGTCTAGGAAGCTTTAAAATGAGGGAAAGGCGAATTAGATGTGAAGTCATGGTAAAGGACAGCTTGAATGATAACATTCAAGTAAATCATGATTAATAGAAAACAGTGCACTAATTTTATATTTAAATTGGGACAGTGACGTTGGAAACATTTGTAGACACTAAATGCTTCCAACATGGAATTCTAGTCCTCCCAGATGAAAAGTTGAAATTCTAGGACTCTGCAGTAGATATATTTTATAAGCATGTGTGAATAAACAAGTAATGTTTGAGGTCTTGGGGTATTGATCGTTGGTGGTTATGTTTTATGTTCAAAGTATCTTAGAACTGGCAGTTTGGTCATATTTCCCAGGAAATTGCCATCCCATGATCAGCTGGCAAATGTTGCAAAGGTCCAGTAGATTTGGGGTGGGGACTAAAGTTTAAGGTTAAACACTCCTCACAAGAAGTTTATATTATGAGAGTAAAATGACATGAATTAATTACATGTCAAAGTTAACATGAATCATGATTCTGGAAGTAATGAGAAATTTTTTTCTAGACTGTTTTCATAAAGAAAACCTTGATTTTGAATCACTAGTGATAATGGTTAGGGTGATAACGGTAACTGGAATAATAGGATGTAATAATGACAGTGGTAATTGGAATTGAGCTTTTGGCCAAGTGTAATATAAAGGGATATTTTTTAAGGCAGCCTATTGACCAAATGTAAAGTTGGGATCTGTTGAACAAATAAGATAATGTAATTTTAGTCATTAAACTGATGATAATGGTTGAGTGTGTTTTTTGGTTTTGTTTTTCTTTTGACCATCCTTTGAGGTGTTGATATAGTTTATTTACAACAGGTATACTTAGAGTCTATTTGTCTATTTTGATGGATAAATTACCTAAATGCTACTTTTTTCCCCTCCTGCAGAACATCCAGTCATGGATAAAAATGAGCTGGTGCAAAAGGCCAAACTGGCTGAGCAGGCTGAACGATACGATGACATGGCAGCCTGTATGAAGTCTGTAACTGAGCAAGGAGCTGAATTATCCAATGAGGAGAGGAATCTTCTCTCAGTTGCTTATAAAAATGTTGTAGGAGCCCGTAGGTCATCTTGGAGGGTCGTCTCAAGTATTGAGCAAAAGACGGAAGGTGCTGAGAAAAAACAGCAGATGGCTCGAGAATACAGAGAGAAAATTGAGACCGAGCTAAGAGATATCTGCAATGATGTACTGGTGAGAAACATTCAGTCTAGTATCTCTGGCTTCACTTTCATAGAGGTTTCATAGTATACGTTATTGTACACTTCTCATTTTCTGGATTTTCTTTTCCTTTTAAAAATTAATGTTCTGGACTTAAATGTTCAAAGTGTTGTTACTAAGATAAGATGGTATAAAATAAGTGTAACAGTGAATTACCAATTTTGATAAAAATAGAGTGACAGTCCATTTTTTATTATTTGAAAAGATAAACTGTTAAAATTACCTCATTAATTACAGTCACATATGTATTAGTTGTAGAGCTCATTTTCTTAGATGAATAAATAATAGATGAATAAATTATGAACACATAAATAGAAGGGGCTGTGGTGGTGGTTGCAGTGGTTTAAGTGCTTGGCTGCTAACCGCAAGGTATAAACTTTGCTGCCACTCTGATGTGGCAGTCTGCTTCTGTAAAGATTTCAACCTTGGAAACCCTATAGGACTGTTCCACCCTGTCCTATAGGTTACTGTGAGTCAAATCGACTTGATGGTGGCATGTGGTTTTAGATTGGGTACATACATAGATAGAGGAATTTTGCATCTTATTTTATATAAGGGAGGTGTAATGAGAGACCCGTAATAGACATAGTACCCCTCTCTAGATCAGATGCTAGAATGTTAATGAATCAGCCAGGCAGAAAACACTGGCTCTGGTGGAGCTTTTGCCTCTTCCTGCATTTGAGTGTTGAAAGTCAGCTTTGGACACTAACAACTATGATAAAAGTTTATGAATGCTCATGCTTGATTATCTAGGTTCAGTCAAGAAGTATTTAAGTTTTCAGTACCTACTGTGTTGAAGCACTATGCTTATCTAAAAGTTTAAAGAATTAAACATTAATTTTGGGTAATTATAATCTTACTCATAAATGATGGCTTTCTGATCTTGAGAAGTTTAAACTTGAGGATAAACTGGTAGAGTTGATCCAGCCAATTGGCATATAATATCTTATACATACTAATACTCTCCTTTTTAATGAACCAGGAAATTTTGGAATAAGATAGTTTTGCTAATGGTTACCCTTAATACTTTAGCCTTGTTCCTGGAAGAACTACTATAATGAGCACGTGGGGTGATTTCTGATGTGATTGTGGGTTTGGGGTTTTTGTTAAAATTGTGATGGTATTTTGATTCCTTTACACTAATTCTTTAATTATAATGGAACAGCTTCAATTTCTAAATTTTAAGTATTTTTGAAATCACATATTTTTCAAATTGTTTTTTTAAAGAACAGTTGTTTTTAATCCTGACTAATGTAAGCTTACAATCTCAGCTTAAATGCCTCTTTATGAGGCATTGATCTAAGATACATTACAGTTACCATTTCTTATTTTTAAGATGAGGAAAATAATTACATGCTGTCATTGAGACTGGATAATAGATGTTTATCTTTTGATTTACTAAGACAATGATATTTAAAATTTGAATATTAGTCATTTTTTCTGTAGTAAAAATTTTTTCTCCTGCTCTCTTTACTAGCTGTATTTTTGTAAATGTTACTGAATTTTACTCAGTTTAGAGTTTTTCTCCCTGTTACTTGATGGATCTCATAATTTTTATTTTGGTTTCAAAGGACTTATTAGAAATTATCAATCCCTTAAGATAAAAGTCCATTTTAGAGATAAAGGAGGGTATGTTAACATTTACCCTCTACTAACAAGCTGTTTTGTGATTCCAGGTAGATATTTGCATGTTTTCCACACATAGCCTATAAAAGCTCCTGTCAATGTGAGGATTTTCCTGTGAAAAGACTAGCAGTTGTAACCTTACTTGCTTTTGGTTTTCTTAACAAGGGAAAAATATATATACACTGCATAGAATGATTGTTAATAACTAGATTAATTTCTAAATAGCTTCTGATTGTTGAAAAGATTATGTAAAGGGATTGATAACTAGTTACTATCCATGTTCAGAATAGCAGTGGCTTCTCACAAAAGTCTCAATGTAATTTCCTCTTTGAAAATTTAGGTAAATTCAACCTTAATTCTTTACCATATAAAATGCTAGAGAGTTCTAAACAAGCTTTGGCTTCCACCCATGGTCTTTTCAAGAATAAGGCTCTGTTAGAAGTTTCTGCGTGATTCAGACCTCTGAACATACAAACCAAACCAAACTCACTGCCGAGGACTCAGATCTGACTCATAGCGACCCCTCCTTGGGTTTCCGAGGCAGTATCACTGTGGAAGTAGATTGCCCAACCTTCCTTCTGAGGAGTAGCTGGTAGATTTGAACCCTCAGCCTTTCTGGTTAACAATCAGATGCCTTAGGCACTAAGCTACCTGAGCTCCTGTCGTTCTTTATAAGGGAGTTTCTTTTCCTTACCAACTTTTTCAAGGAGGCCATGCTGACTCTGGAAACACGTTGCATAAAATTCTTTTTCCCTTTCTAATAAAATAGAACAAAATGTAGCAAGACTAATATTTTGCTTAAACAAAACAAAAAACTCAATGCCATTGAGTCGATTGAATTCATAGCGACCCCTCTTTGGGTTTCCAAGGTGATGTCTCTACAGAAGTAGATTGCCCAGTCTTCCTTCTGAGGAGTGGCTGGTGGGTTTGAACTGCTAGCCTTGTCAAAAATGACTTAAGCACTATTCTAGCAGAGCTCTCCTGAACATGGAGGAGGTGCTCGAGTATTTGTTGGTTAAATGAGTGTTGCTGTTGTTGTTATATGCCATCGAATCGGTCCCCTTCTTGGGTTTCCGAGGCAGTATCACTACGGAAGTAGATTGCCTCATCTTCCTTCTGAGGAGTGGCTGGTGGGTAAGGTAATAGAATTAGGCTAACAGCACTGCTAATTTTCAGTCTTTTCTGTTTCAACTTGGGAAAATTTGATATTAACAGGCACTGTCATTCTTTTTAAAACCAAACTAAACTCAATGCCTTGGAGTCTACTCTGACTCATAATGACCCCTCCTTGGGTTTTTGAGGCATTATCACTACAAAAGTAGATTGCTCAATCTCTCTTCTGAGGAGTGGCTGGTTGGTTTGAACCGCCAGCCTTCTGGTTAGCAGTCAGATGCCTTAGGCACTAAGCTACCAGATCTCCTGTCATTCTTTATAAGGGAGCTTCTTTCCTTACCAACTTTTTCAAGGAGGCCATGCTGACTCTGAAACATCTTGCATAAAATTCTTTTTCTCATAAAATAGAAGAATAAAATGTAGCAGGACTAATATTTTGCCTAAACCAAAAAAAAAAAAAAAACTTGCTGCCGTTGAGTCGATTCAACTCATAGCGGCCCTTCCAAAGTGGTTGTCTTTATGGAAGTAGATTTCCCAGTTTTCCTTCTGAGGAGTGGCTGGTGGGTTTGAACCACTAACCTTCTGGTTAGCAGTCAAAGGCCTTTGACACTATGCCACCAGAGCTCCTGATAACTGATTATATTTTTACCAGGTAAGTAACATTTTAAAATATAAGCAAAATAAAGCACACTAGCATGAAATTTTACTAATCGTCAAGTATAATGACTCAAAAATAATTTTTTTCCTAGGCGATATTTTTGAGCCATTGCACTTAAAGATAGTAAAATTTCATGCTGATATGCTTTAATTTATGTTTTAAGATCTTACCTGGTGAAGATACATAATCAGTTCTAATATTTTCTTTAAAAATTTTCCGAAATTTTTTTTAATATGAGGAAAATAAGTAATTTCTTTGAGTTGATGTCACTGGCTGGTGGCATTAGTGATGTATCAGACTTCCTTTTGTTATACTGAATACATAATAAGGACCTCTAGTGGCACAGTTGTTAAAGCATGCAACTGCCAGCAGTTCAAACACATCTCAGAAGAAAGATGGGGCAATCTGCTTCCTTTAAGATTTATGCCTTTGACTATTTACAATAGCCAAAACATGGAAACAACCTAGATGTCCATCAACTGAGGAATGGATAACCAAACTATGGTACATACACACAATGGAATATTATGCAAGGCTAAAGAATAATGTAGAGTCTGCAAAACACCGCATAACATGGATGAACTTGGGGGACATTATGCTGAGTGAAGTAAGTCAATCACAAAAGGACAAATACTGTATTAGTCCGTTATTGTAAAAGTTAAGGAAAGGTTTATCTATTGAAGGAAATTTTCTTTGTTGGTTACCAGGGGTGGGAGGGGAGAGGAGGGAATGCTGTTAGATAGAGATAGATATTGATTTGGGTGAAGAGAAAGGCAGCGTACCAAATGTAAGTGCCCGATATGGCAGCATTGAGGATGAGAAAGACATAAGAGAGGTACATGGGAAGTACAGACAACAAATATGAACCCTTTTGCATATACAGTACTGAGTTTTTAGTGAAGCCAAACATGGGTATATGGATGGATGGATAGATGGACAGGCTAAACGATTAGGTATGTCTATGAAATAGGGAGTGTATCCAAGATCATATATAGGGTTGGCAGACAATGGTCCTATAAGTTTATGTGAATGATCAGAATTCCCAGGTGTATAGTGGAGCTGACAAGGGGCAAGATTGTGGTCACTGCTTGGTTACAGCCAGCTACCCAGAGCGACCGAGTAGTTGCTTCTGCGGGCTTGGGACCATAGTCACAGGGGACATCAAGCTCAATTGGCATAACATACTAGACAAAACATTGTTCCACCTCCTACGTTGGTGAGTAGCGACTGGGATCTTAAAAGCTAGCAAGCTGCCATCTAGATGCAATGATGGGTCTCTCCTCGTCAAGAGCAAAGAAGAAAGAAGAAAACCAAAATTAATGGAAACAATCAGTCCTTGCGACTGGTACACCATTTGATCTGCAACCTATACAACTATGAGACCAGAAGAACTAGATGGTGCCCGGCTACCACTGTCATCCACTTGGAAGGGATGTAGGAGATCCTGCATAGAGAGGGAGAACAATGTGGAACAAAACTCAAAATCATTTGTAGGGGAAAAAAAAAGATGGTTGGGACCAGGTTTGCTGGTCCAGTAGAGCCTGGTGTAACCACTGAGACTATGGCCCCTAGCTGC